CGTATTGTATGAGTAATTCGCTATACTTAAACTTTGTGTTAATTTGCTTACTAGAAGCAATCCTTATAAATACAGTCTGTTAATCTCAAATTTGTTTGAGTGATTTTCTTGAGGGACTGGGGTTTAGGGATGGCAAAATAGTTTGTACTTGCGGATATCTGCGGATAAAATCCGGCATGGATATGGGGCGGGTAGCTTAATAGATATCTACGGATAAAATAAATGATATTTAAATATCCATTTATTAATGGATATGGATACGGGCTTAATGATATATGTGCCCGCGGATATTCATATTCATTAATAATTATAAAAATCATTTAAATATCATTAGTTTATTATGCATTATCTTTTTTTTTTTAATTTCTCTTCTTATATTTCTTTCTTTTTTTGAAATTTTATTTGAAGAAAACCTTTCACATTTCATTCAAATTCTATTAGCCATTTCATATTTAAACTCTTCAATACTTCATACCTCACTTCAACAATTTTACAGTCTAACCAACTAGTTTCGTCATTCCTCTATCGAACCAGTGTCTCCCTTCCATCATAACTCACAATTACAATATCGTTTATTTGTTTGGTTAAAAAATAAATGTATGAATATTATGTTTTGGTGAATAAAAAGAAAATTAATGTGATGGAATTTTAATGTTAAATTAAGAGTGAATTGTATGGATGTTATGTGATAATAATCTTTTGTGTCTTTAAAAGAAGTTTTAAAAAAAATTCAAAAAATAATTTTTATGAAAAAAATATTATCCATGGATATCTGTAAATATTTGTGGATACCATAAAACCTGCGGATTACCCGCTTAACGGATACCCGAATGGATATGGGGCGGATATGGATATCATATTTATCCAACGGGGTGGATATAGATATTATAGTATTCGTTCCCATGGATATCCATTTACTTTCCTACTAGGGTTTACTCTGTATACTCGAGAAGACAATGACGGTTGTCTTTGTGGTATCTATAATTAATTTGATTATAGTGGATTAAATCCTTATTGAGAAGGTGAAATCACTTTGGTAAGGTGGACTGGAGGTAACTTAGTTAACAAGGAACCAGTATAAAAATAATGTGTTATTCTTTATTGTTTGTGTGTTTATGTATTGAATTTGTTTTGAAAACATTGATTTTTAGAAACTCAATTCAAACTCCTTCCTTCTTTCTTGTGTTTCTTTCCAACTTCAAACTCCACTAGGATTCAATATTTGCTTGAGAAAGGTGAAATATGAGAACTTAAAGCCCAAGTTGAAGAAGCTAAGGACTATCAAAGTTACTGATTTTAAAAGATAAGGGAATGAAGGTCAGGTGATGTTGATACAAAAAGGGTAATATGGATAAGGTGTTATAGGGTCTCATGTCAAGCCTGAATTGTAAACTTCTTTGAGTTCATATCTTAACTAGTTGGAATGTATGTATGTTTTAAGAATAACATAAACAAACTGATCAAGATGGATGTGGAAAGATTTATGAATAGAACGAAATGCATTATGGTGTTAAATAAATGATTCAATGTCTAAATCAATGAGGATGTTTTTCACATAAAATGGTAGAAGATTCATAAGGGTATATGAGGATTACAATGCAGAAATCAACAGTCACCGAAAAACCAGAGTCGGAGACAAATTCATATACGAGCTCGGGTAATTGGGAGGAAGATGAAGGGGAGTCATACGCATAAGAAAGTGAGGATATGCATTTTTTTTTTGAGAAAGTGGCGGTGGTGGAGCTTGGAAAAAGTATAAAGGGGAAAGGCAATAAATGTCTTCAAAAATAATACAACTATGTAAATCAATAAAGTGAAAGGCCAATAAAATAAAAAATTTAAAAAGGAAAATTGTACTTTCAGCCTTAAAAGGGGACAAGGAGACAAAATTATTATGTACGGATCTAGTTATAGAAGAAAATCAAAGGTTTCTAGTAGGTATGAGAGTAGCTTCAAAGTGGGAAGTGTGTTGGATCGGGTTTTAAAGATTTTAAGGCCCTATAAGAGGGTAGAGGTCTAGAAATAAATTAAGGTAAGATGAAAACGGGTCAAGCAACACCAAGCCCATTCAAAGTAATAGGAATTAAGTCCAGAAGCTTGAGCCTAAGACAAGGAAGGTCAAAACATAGAAAGCCAAATAAGCTTAATTTTGTGGGAGGATTTTGGAGACATTCGACCCTCATATTTATCAATCCTAAGATTGCTAAAATCAAAGAAGTAAAAAATCCTTAATATGGAATCGAAGGAAAATCCTTATCTATAATATAACACGAAGATACAAGAAAATATGAAATTAAAGGAAAATCTCATTGAATAACCTAATAAGAAGATGCAAGAAGATCAATATTTAGAAGGTTCGCCCCTGTGTTGTGAATCCACAATCACTACTGCGGAAAATATCTTTAAACTCGGTTGGATATGAGTTGTTACCACTATTTCATATGCGGGGTAATGAAGAGCATCATAAAAAGTATGCCCATTTACCTCCTGGTTTAAGATCCACTAGTAGGAAAGGTGTAAAGGCAACGGGTTCGATTCCCAGCGATAACTTTTTGGATCTTTTATATGGAAGTGTTAAAACACAATTGAGTTTATTATATTGAATGTTGATTGCTTATTTCACTAAACCCTTATTGAACATATAACTTTTAAATCGGTTTACAAAATAATTATATAAACAATTATGTTATATTTGAATATCAACTTACATTAACCAATGATTTTCGAGCATCTTGTAACTCTTTATTCACTTCTCGTTCTTTAATGGTTCGAATCTCATTCAATGTTTCAAGTTCTTATTCAATACTACATTCTCTACTAATTCATTCTTCAAAGTATAAAATTTGATATTTTTCAAAATGAACAACTATAGAAGAAAGTTGAACGAAACTAGAAGCGTTGAAAGAGATTTTAACCATAAAGAACATGAAATGAATGATAAGTTACAAAATGCTAAAAAAAACATTAATTAGTGTAAGATTTTTTTCAAATACAACATAATTTTCATACTATTATTTTCAAAATCGATTTAACATGTTATATATTCAGAGAGGAATTAGTGAAACAAACAATCGACATTAGATATAATAAACTCAACTATATTTTTTGTCAGACTAATATCCTATTGACATGTTTAGCGAAATAAGATGAGAGTTGCACAAAAAATCACAAAAACATAATCTCAAATTCAATCTCAATATCAAAATCAATAATAAAAATAAGTAAACAACAAAACATAGCTTTCAAAACTTTGTTTATTATAACAACTAAACATCTCAACCTTAACCTCAAACTCAATAACAACAACTAAACAAGAATAACAACATCAACAACTCAAAAACAACAATAAATAACAACAACAAAAATTAACTTTTAATACCAATCTAAACAATTAAAACAACAACAACATTAAACAACAACAACATTAAACAACAACTCAAAAATAACAATCTATCAACAAAACTATATCAACATCAACATCAACAATACACATATAACGTATGTATCTAAAAAAAAACAGCAACGTATAACATTCAATCTTAGTTTAAACAAAAACAACAAGACTAAACCTCTAAGGTTTAGGGTCTCAACAACAACAACAACAAAAACAACAACAATAACATATCATCTTCGTAAGTGATGTTTGGCGTACTAGATATGTGAAGAAAAAGTGAAAGAAAGCCTTAAACACATGTCATATTCATATTTTTCTTGTTTTTTTACGAGTTTGAGGATGATATGTGTTTCGGGATCTTGTTGTTTATGGTTCAGCGTGTGTTGTTTTAGGCAAGTGAAAAAAAATTAGGGTTATGTAGGAGTTAGCTTGATGAATAGTGATTAGTTAGTGTTATGGACTGGGTCGGGACCTGCCCATCAGTCGGGTAGGCCTAACCCAACACTACGTTGAGGAGGTCCAATAAGACCCAATCCTCCCATGTCGGATACAAGTCACCTACGTCGGACAGATGACTCCCTTCGCGGGCAGACCCACACGTTTTCTCCACGTTCTCCACGTGTTCCCCACGCGGGTACACGTCATCAGGCAACTACCCACCTTTGAAAGAGTTGGTCAGCCCACCTTCCGAAGATCACGGGGCAGTTGATCTAGGGCGAAGACCACGTGCTGGTTTTCACTATGCCATGTAAGTCCTGACAATTAATTGGGTTGGGCCTGGCAGTCTGACCCAATGCAAGTAACTGTTGGTCCTGCGTTGGAGTCTCTCTATAAATATCCTCTTTCACTAGAGGGTCAGGTATTCTATCCTCTACACCTATTTCTTTGTATTTGTTCTCCTACTTTGATCCTTTACTCACTTAAGTATCGGAGTACCTTGCAGGTACACCCCCTCTTTCTCCCTACTTCCGGTAAAAACTACAATTCAACGACGTGTGGCAGGTCATTGATCCTTTTTGATCAGGTGAGATCAGTTAGTTTTGAAAATGAACAAACAGTTAGAGTTAGTTAACTGTTAGAGGAATTAGTTAACTATGTTAATTAGTTAGAATTAGAAATTGGAAGTGAATTGAATTAGATGTTAGGGAAAAGTTAGTTATAGGAAACAAATAGTATTGTCTTAGTTGTTAGAGTTTTAGTTAGCAAGGTCAGTTAGGTTTCAATAGTTAGAAGTTATGAATTGGTTTAATGTTAGAGTTAAAACAAATGTTAGTTAACTTGGTAGAAGTTAGTTGAATTAGTTAGCTTGCATTGCATTGTTAGTTAACTTTTAGTTAATGTTAGTAACAGTTAGTAAATCAGTCAGTAGGATTTAGAAATTAGTTAATGTTAGTTAGCTATTTTGCTTGGCTTGTTAGTTAAATAGCTTTGACAATTAATTGAATTGATAGTGAACTAAAAAGGAAATGTTAATGACAGTTAGGAGAATTTACTAGTTAGGTGATTAGTTGACTATTAGCAGCTAAAGAGAGTGCTAATTGCATTAATCCTTGGTGAAAAACTATTTTCCTATGGATAACTGGTATGTGTTGAATACCAGACTTATTTACTTGCGGATAAATTCACCATATTTTTTTCCTAGAGTCACTCTATATGTTATATCATTAGTAACTGTAGAACACAACTCAGATAAATTCACACGAGAACTCCCCTCTTGAATAAGTTTCATCATTTTCACAGTTTCTTCCTCTCTAACACGGCGATAAGATTGAACTCTTTTGTTACTCAAAAGATGTAACACACAGAGACTCCTTACTTGTCTCCAATACTCACCATATGCACAACTTGCCACGTCTTTGGAACCATAAAACATGATATCATAGATTTTACGCTGTGGCCTGTCACAGAAAACCAAGTCATGAGTTTTCATTACTTTACTTGCTGCATCAGCAGAGGAAACTACAACTACTGGCACCTTCCCGAAATATATAAGCATTAAAGGTCCATATTTATGAGCTAAAGTTTGGAGTGTGCGATGAGGGAATAATCCAAGTTGATGGAGATTACCAACTAGTGGAAATCTTGGAGGTGAAGGTGGCAAGTTCTTTTTGGTGGCAGAATTGTTGGAATACCATTTGATAATGAAGAAAAGAGAGATTAAGAGTGGAAAGATGGTGAAGAAAAGCATAGAACTTGGCAGAAAGATTGACATGTGATCTGGAAGATTATGATTTTCAGTGAAAGAAATAGATCAGCTAAATTTATTCAGAAAAAGAAACAAAAACAGTTTCCTGATAACCATGGTCATGCAACAAGGAAAGGCAAAAAAAAAAAAAAAAAACTAGGTGTTCTTTGTCTGTTTGGAACCGTTTGTACTTTGACTCATAGTTATAATATTTTACTTGAATTTCCACTACGGGAACACAATTACAGCTTATGTATTACATAACTTTTTCTAAGAGTTAAGATTATTAATACACAACTCTATGCTACTACGTTGATTATGTATCAAGTTGCTGAAAAATAAAGGACATGAGAAATTGAAATGGACTATATGAGCTTCTAATACATGAAAATGGATGAATAAACAAAAATATCAACAAAAAAAATTACAACTATTGATTACACAGACTATGCTAGGTGCGCAGCCGCCTTTTGATTTTTGTATTCAAGCATTTCCGTATCACCAGCACGGTGATATAATTTATGAGCATTGAGAGCAGCACATAAAAGTTGGTTGAATTCTAATGATGTGAGCTGAAGTAATTTCCTTTCGTCGGAGAAGCAACAAATCCTAATGCAAGATGTGGCTGTACAGATTTTTTCATTTGATTTTTCACCGAATTCTACATGATTCGATGACCTCGCTAACAGTTTTATGAGTCTCTGGTGAAATCATGTCCAAGGACAGATGAAATTCCTGCAGATAAAGACAGCAATGGATTAAAATGTGATAATGATGAAATGAACATAAAATTTTAATGTAAAAATAAAAAGGGAGCCCCCTATTAAGATTAAGCAGGCCATGGTACATACCACAAATCTGTCTAACACAGGTACAAGACTGGCCAAGTTGTGATCTGGAAGATTGTCAGCAATTGATTCGCGGATGCTCTTGCTGGAGATCAAAAGAGTAAATTGGGGCCCTTAAACTATGCAACAAAAAACGTGAACAAAAGGGAATTGAAAAGCAAAAGGAAATTAACCTTTCAGTGGAAAGAAATGCTAGAAGCAACGCAGAGTAAGCTTCGACAATCATTTTCTCAGCTTCTTTTTCACCTTGTAGTACAGCCGCCTCATCATTCTGCATGATGAAAACAAGATTATTTAAAACAAATCAATCGCAATCTACTTTCAAATGTTTTCGTAAAAGTAAGGAACAAAAAATGTGTATAACGAAAACAGTGTGTGAAACAAGAATTCTAAGGAAAAATTGGAAAATGCTACCCACCAGTTCAAATTTTTTATCTTCCCCACCTGCCACCTCACTTTCACCCTGGTTAGCCAAAAAAATAGAGCATAATAATTGAATAACATCCCACCGAACCTCCTGGTCCAAGCCTTTTGAAGAAGGTAGTAAAACACTGGCTGCTGCAAGCCGTGATCTGCAAAAGAAGAGTGACAAATCTTGAATGGGATGGACATCATTTTACCGTGCCAAACTAGTTCATAGTAAACTTCCAGTCCAGAAATAGATCAAATTACCTGTTTTGACTGTCCTTCTCAACCAGATTTACAAGCAAACCCAGAATAGCAACAAGAAAATCCAACTCGTGATCATTTAGAAGCATATCACATAGATGGTCCTTTTCAGTTCTCAAAGAGTTGTCTTTTATTTGAGCAAAGGACTGAGATGAGCTAAAAGAAGGGAAATGACCAGCAATTAACATAGGCATGGCCTCTAGTCCTCCATTGGCAGCAATTAGTTGACAGCCAATAGGGTTGTCATTAGTCAAATTCATCAGCACCTACAATAAGACAGTACCAGTTAGAGTGTATATAAATTTGAACGGGGACCAATCTCAATTTAAACCAAATTTTCAGGGACTAAAACAAAAAACTAGGACCAAAAGTAAAATAAAATATATTCGCAAAGATCAAAATCAAACAAACAAAATTATAGGGACTAAAACCAAAAGTGATATATTTGCTGAGACCAAATATATATTTAAACCAAAAATTAAAATGAGGAAAGAATAGAGACTTGTATACACCAGTTCTACAAATAGGTATATCAGTATACAAGAGCAAAACAAGAGTTACATCCAGCAGATATTTCTCTAAGTGGTTAGTATAATGTATAACACTGACATAAACAACTCAAGGTTGCAACTACACATGAAACATGGATAACTACATATGATCTGATAGGTAACCAAAATTCTCCACCTCCACTTATTTATTCATAAATTTATGAGAAAACATTGACATAAATGATACATAAAACAAACACTAAATCCAGTAAAATACCTTAACAGCAGTAAGGAGGCAATCACTTAGAAGGCTAGAATCTTCTTCATAACTGATGTCAGAACTGGAACAATTGATGTTCCCATCACTTGATTCTTGTTGACTCATTTTGGTTTGCAATTGAAGTTCTTCTTCATGACTCACTTTGGTTTGCGATTGATGTTCATTTTCCTCACTCAATTTGGTTTGTGATTGATGCTCATTTTCTGGACTCATTTTGGTTTGTGATTGACGTTCATTTTCAAATTTTCTATTCGCTGCCTTATGTTTTTTAGAATGAGATGGTTTGTGATTCCCCGATAGTATGTCCCACTGAGAGGGCACAATGTCATCCTCATCAAATGCAAAGGGATCATGGTTATCTTCCAAAATTACAGCCGGGGTACGTTCCGTAAAGTGAACATTCTTCCTCGAACTATTTAAGGTCATAGATTTTTGACAGTTTGAACTCTTTGATAAACCACTGTCATCCTGATCAAATGCAAATGGATCTTCGCTATCTTCCAAGATTGCAACCGGAGTACCTTTTGTCAACTGAACATTCTTCCTGGAACTATTTAGGGTCATGGATTTTTGACAATATGAACTCTTTGATAAGCCACTGTCATCGAATGCAAATGGATCTTCGCTATCTTCCAAGATTACAGCCGGGGTACCTTTCGTAAACTGAACATTCTTCCTGGAACTATTTTTGGTCACGGATTTTTTACTGTGCGAACTCTTTGATAAACCACTGTCATGCTCATCAAATGCAAATGGATCTTGGCTATCTTCCGAGACTACAACTGGGGGGGCTTCAGTAAAGTGAACACTCTTCCTGAAACTATTTTGGGTCGTGGATTTTTTATGGTTCGAACTCTTTGATAAACCACTGGAAGACCCAGACGTGCATGAATTGATCCTCATCTTTAGTGAGTGTGTATCAGTTGTTGATGTGCTGGGAGTTTCAGAAACGGACAGCGACCTTTCCAACCGAGCACACGTCAACAGTTGGCTGTCCTGAGAAACATTAGAATTCTTAATAGAAGAGGCCATCTCCACATCATAGTAATTTCTACTCTCCACACCAAAGTAACTACTATCAGAACTGATGAATATAGGTTTATTCTCTGCAAATTCAAATGAAAGAGCATTCAAAAAATATGCAGACAAACTTATTCGGCAAGCATATTCTAATCCAAATCATTTGAGATGACTGATTTAACTTTAAGAAGCTAGAAAGAACACAACAACGGCTTAACATAAACCCAAATAATTTGGAAGACAAAGTTATAGAACACATTAAATACAAGGCACAACAATGATGGTCGTTCTATACATCACCACACCCTGAATAAACAATCTGTGACCCTAATCCTAATGGCATTTGCTCACTTTTTTCAGATTTAAAAATTTAAAATAATCCCTTCCCAACATAAGACAATAAAATCAAATCAAGGATAAAATAATCCTTTCAGAGGTAAAATAACTTTGTGAAGCTCAATATCAAAAGGTAAACTAGTGTCTAGTAAAGAATCAGTTTCACTGAAAAACTGATTTTTGCTGATAAAAACAATGAAGATTAGCAGCTTACAATACATGAACAGAAAATAAAACATAAATGTTAAGTTCAGCAGATGCACAGAACCTCTGGCCCAAATCCATTTGCTTTTATTTCTTAATTCATGCCCTACCACAAAATATTGATCCTTCCCTCTTATATTATCATTTTTCCGCATGTTAATGGAAGACATAAAGAAATAATAGGTGTGCCCTCCTCAGAAAGGAAAACAGTTGAAGCAATAGTTTCTGTCTAGAAGAAAAGGATAAGTAAGCGTTTAAAGGATTTGCACTGATTTGGAAATTTTCCGCATATAACTCCAGTGACTATGATCAGAAACTAAAGTTTCATGACCAAAATATAAAAATCTAGTACCTTTATAGTCTCTGAGTTGATCCAATTCAGAATCATCACTGAGCATAGAGAAAGGGTCATTAAGCTTGGCTGCAGTGGACACATCAGAGGCACTCTGACGCAGACATAGATCTAGGAAATAGAAGTTTTTGGCATAAATGAGAAAGGGAAGAAAAGCTATGATCCAACAAAAATGTAAACTAATAAAATAAAATTTTTAATAAGGAAAAGGCAGCAAGTCAGAAGTTACCCCTTTGTATGATCATTACCTGAGAGCATCTTTATGACAATTATAATCAGCTCCGTAAAAGACAATGGGGTAGCCTTGGGGCTCAATTTTCTTTTCAATCCAAGCAAATGAGTCTATAATGAGAAAGTATAAGATTAATAAATTAACAAATTCACCAAGCTACAAATGCATCAAAAATTGTAGTATGCATTATACAACAAAGATGGAAAGTCACACATGCAAAACCCAAGGCAACAAAAACTAAATCAATAAAAAAAGAAAAATTTAAAACAGGGTAAAGAACACATATCAACCTGATTGTCTTTGCTTAGAAAAGTAGCATTTTCCATTATCTTCAGGCACTTAAGAAGCAAGGTTAGACACTTTAGGCGTTGATCATTTCTCAAATCTTTGGCGGACCGAGAACTATTATTCTTCCAATTCTGAAAGGCAATTCCATGGATTTCAGATGATTTTTTATTTAAGGATAAAAATATAAAAGAATTGGTGGTTGATTGACGTAGTACAATATCACATCTCAGAGCAAGAAATATCCATCCAAAAATGTTTTCCCTATTATTGAACATATATTTTTGAACTTGAACTAATATACAAGTGC